GGTGGCTGGAGTGGCGGCGGCGGCGGCGGTAGCAGCAAAGTCATCATCGTTAAAGTCGTGAACGCTGGCGGCTCAGGTGGTGGTTACGGAGGTGGCCATGGAGGCTGGAGCGGTGGCGGCGGCGGCCATGGTGGCTGGAGCGGCGGTGGTGGCGGTTGGGGCGGCAGCGGTGGTTGGTAAATTATCAATCATGCCAAGTCGTTGTAAATTCACCAGACCAACAACAAAGTACACAGTTAATTTAAGTTGTTAAAGCAAGCAGAATCATAGGCTTAAGCATCACCTTTAGACATAAGTTCGTTCTTTCATCTGATGAAATCAAAAAACACATTGGAATTTGAATAAAATTTCGCAAAAATGTTAAAAATAGTAAACCCATTAATTATTTCGCATATGTTGTTGTGATTACCAACAACATTTTTTCTACATTGTGTCTTAATTAATTTAAATATCGTGTATAACGGGTTCTTAACTGGCGCGCTTCCTAGCGGCTAATTACAACTCAGCTCAGCGACAACCGGTTTGGAGAGAATCTTCGTATGGCTTTTCATTTAATTGATATGCATAAGTTAATGAAGCGATAAAAGAACAAATGGGTTTAGTTTACAATCAACTTTTATTATGGCTTGTCGTGTGTATTTTAGTTTCATGTCGAATTAAGTGTTTGATAATTCGCATGCTAAAATATGCTAGCGACGGGAGACATCATATATCCTGCTATAAAAAGGGCCATAAACTGTATGTTTTTATAGTTTTATACTGGTTATAAAAACTATTGAATTATGAACAGCAGCGTAAGACTGAAGACTCAAGCTGGTATGTTTGTAAATAAACAGGTCTGTATTACATCACATATATTTGCAGTTTGGTTCTTTCACAGCGAGATCTGAGCATATAAAAGAAAATTCTCCAATAATATACATATATATGATAATTAATGTAACTGACCTTGAAATTTTTGTAGATAGAATTTTAAATAACCGCTATGCACCTTATTAATAGAAAATATTATAGTTAATTTATGAGTGCTAGGAGGAAGTACCTATGAACCAATATCACCTAAGTAAAGTAAGAAAAAATCACACGGAACCAAATTTGATGAATATGGTGGTATGAATATCGATGGTATTCATTGCGTTTTTAGCTTTACATTCGGTCACAATCGTAGCTCGATGCGACGGTGCATTATCTACGTGTAAAATCCAAATCCAATTGTAGCAGAACAATTCCGATCGTTTTCGCAGGATGTTCTCACGCAAACGCCTTAATAAGGCCAAATCGAACTGCTTACTCACTGTCTGTTTCTCCGAAACAAATTCATGTTGTACCAAAACACGAATAACGACAAGCCGTGATTGTTTTTGAGCGCCATCGGCGGTTTTTTTTGGTTTCGGCTCGCTTTTTTTCCTTCATCCCGATGATTCTTGTTTACATGCCAAACTCATAAACATATGTCTAATCGGCAGTTGTAATGCTCTTCATGAATATGAGATCGAAATTCGTTTGATCAAGTATGTCCAAAGAGACCTGTTTTTCAGTTGTCTTTTTGAAAAAAATCAGCTTTATCGGGACGAGTCGGACAAGAACCCGTTTCATATCCAAAACATACACCAAAAACATTTGAACGGACTCAAGAGATGTTGAGGTCTGTTGCCATCTCTCTAGTMCTTTTCAAGCACCAAATCTTCTACTTTTTATATATTTTCGTCAGTCGTTAGTTGACGTCGAAGGCCGTCCGTTTCATACCCAAAACATCCACCAAAACCATTTGAACGGACGCAAGAGATGTTGAGCTCTCTTGCCATCTCTCTAGTACTTTTCAAGCACCAAATCTTCTACTTTTTATATACTTTCTTCAGTCATTAGTTGACGTCCAAGGTCGTCCGGAATGAGACATGTCTTTAACGGTCTCTCGACCATCTTTGAAGGCTTGAACCACTGGTAGACATGTAGAACTGAATCAACGTATGTCTTTGCTAACATTCGCAATGATTCCGCACACAAAGTTTGGTTAGAAATACAAAATGTTTATCAAATTCTTTGTTCGATATTTTTATTCATTGTAAAAACCGCAACGCACTAATGAGGTGTAGCGACTTAAGCAGCTGCTGTAAGCAAACATTTTGACAGATCACGCTCTTTGATACAGTAATTAAGGACACTCCTACCAACTTAACAAACACACATTTTTTTAGTTATTTATACGGGGTGTTTAATAACAATTTATTATTACTGGAAACTTGTCTGAGCCAAGTGTAGACTCTAGTCTTCTGCCACTCATTCGGATACCATAATCGTCGATAACACGTAAAGTGCTAAGGATTTTTCTATGCATGCTGCACCATAAAGAAAAAAGACTAATATGAGGGATTTGTAGAGAGTTATGTATCCCAAATGCATTCTGAGCTAGTAATTACAATTATATGTTTGAATCTCTAGGCTGGAATCATTATTACGGTTGATAAAGGTACCAAGTAATTCTTGACTGCTCCGAAAATATAGTTCCCAGCTGCCACCCTTTTCTCCTTAACATTCCTCCTATTAGCCACGTATGTATTTCGTCATCAATTACCGTCGGATTTAATTTTTCAGATTTCTTTCTCAATACCAACCAAATTCTGAGAGACATCCTGCCCACTTATGCCAATGTCATCTGTATTGGCAAGTTCTAAACTGGCTGGATAAAATAACTTCCATGACGAAGTTGAAAAGATCACAAGAATAGAATCGCAACCTCGCCTGGTTTTAAGAGATTCGAAGAGATCTGAAGAGGTTCGCAGAGGTGCGTTCCTACTTTGAAGGTGCTGCGGATGTTGCTCACGTCATTAGTTTTTGCAGGTATATCAAGTTCCTATAATGCAGTATATACAGCATTGAAAGCTACTTTTCAAGCACCAAATCTTCTACTTTTTATATATTTTCGTTAGTCGTTAGTTGACGTCGAAGGCCGTCCGTTTCATACCCAAAACATCCACCAAAACCTCGAGCTATTGAAAGCTACCTTGTTACTGGCGAAGGAGAAATATATTTTTTTATAGTTTGAGCAGTATGTGTATTAGGTCTGCTGAACGACCAGTTCGAAGCTGCGATGATAAGATCCAATCAATTGCTTAGCATATGGCTTCAGTGTGTATGTATGTATTTGTGTTTGCTAAAACGCGTGTCAGATTTTTTCTGTCGCTTTTGATTGACAGTTATGGATATTATTCATTAAGCCAGATATATTTTGATTAAAATTTTCATATCGGCGAATTGAAGTAAAAATTTAATTAACTTTTCAGTTGTTGTGACTTTTATGATTTGGCAGCACGATCAATTTTTCAATGTACATATATACAAATACATAGCTTTACAGTCATTTGCGAGTCTGATGTTAGCGAATTTTTTGCGCCGTAGTCAAGGGGTGTAGAGGTCAAACCAACACATTTACTAAAATGACAAAAATAGCTGTAAGAGATGGAAAATTTTTGAGCTGAAATTCAAATTCGTAATAAGGGCACCTCAAATATCCCATATCTTTTGCAAATTTTTTTTTTAGATTTGTTGAATAGTGATTAGAATATACTTTTTGCACTTGTTGCAATTTGCAGACGAAATACGAAAAATTAGATGCTGAGGCTCCATTCCTCTTGTTAAACAGAAGAGAAAATTTACTGTGAATAGGTGCATAGAGCGACAGAGGGTCATACTAGTGTAATAAGAGCAATTGCTTAAGTCGATGTACATCAGTAGTGCGTTGCGATTTTTGCAATGGATAAAAATATCGAACAAAGAATTTGATAAATATTTTGTATTTCTAACCAAACTTTGTGTGCGGAATCGTTGCGAATGTTGGAAAAGGTTTACGGTAATTTAGTTGTATCAAAAACACAAGCCTACGAGTGGTACAAAGCCTTCAAACACGCTCGAAAAATCGTTGTAGACATGCCTTCAACCGATGAAAAGCGTGTAAATCGTTAGGCAAGTGTTAGAGAGACACATTATTTTGGTGGATAATTCGACTAAAGATTACATCTGGTCAATAATGCGTAAAAAATATTCCGTAGAAAGCTTTAATGGATCTTAATGAATCAAAAAGCGACCATCATGACACATAGATGGCGCTACTAGAATTAAATCCATACGATTTTCAGTTAGCCCTAACCTGTCAGATGATTACCTTGTGTATTATATTATTTTGAGTGAAGCAACTCTTGTTTTTGTGAAGAATTTGACAAAATATTGCTTTTTGATAGGAAAACATATAGTTGAAGCAAAAACTTGGTTTAATGACGAGTTTCCGGACACTGCGTAGGAAACTAAACTATCAAGGATTGGTTGCTAGGTCCACAAAATAATTTCGGATGACAGTAAAGAGAAGTTGTTCGAGAGCATTCTAAAGATAGAAACTGAACGTGTACATCATACCTTTCACAAATATTTGGGTATGAGAAAGCTTTGCGCAAGGTGGGTGCCGCACGTGCTCACTTTTGACCAAAAACAACCACAAGTTGATGATGCGGAACAGTGTTTGGAGGAGTTCAAGTGCAATAAAACCCAGTTTTTGCATCGATATGTGGCATTGGATGCATAGTAGCTCCAACATTTTACTCAGATGTCCAATCGACAGTCGCTGGCGCTGGAAATTAAATTTTTTTGACTACTTCAAAAGAGGCAGGACCATCAATAGCAACTATTTCGTAGCATTATTGGACTGTTTAAAGGAGAAAGACTCCGAAAAACGGCCGCATTTGAAGAAAAGGAAAGAGTAGTGAAAACGATGGCAAAAATCCTCGAATTGGGCCTCGAATCGCTTCCGCATCCATCGTATTCTTCAGGCCTGCCTCCCATATACAATTTTCTGTTCTCAGATCTCATAAGAATGCTCGCTGTAATCAGTGTATCACCCTTGAAGGGAGCTATGTTGAATAAAAAAAGAATTTTGCCAAATGTTTCACTGTGATAGACCGTCTACTTTTCAATTGGCATGTTAAATTTTCTTTGAATTTAATTTTTTTTCCTGAAACAATAAGTATAGACAGTTTTAAAAGTCAAGATCCCTCTGACTGGTATGCCGTAGTCAAATAAGGCCTTAAAGTTTCAGCCAAGTATTTGGCAAGGGTGTTAGCGAAATATTGTTATTATTAAGAATTTAGTAAAATTGTTTTTGTAAAGCCCTGTTGTGATAGAGCTTAGCATTG